GATCTGATTACGGCTGTGATTCAGTCATCAGCAGTATCAGAGGGTGGATTTGAACGACTTTAGTCAACTCTGAGTGAAGAATCTTCAGCAGGGGATTTGTGGAACAAATAAGGCGCTTGTCTCTACTTCAACGACCATTGCTACAAGCTCCGCTTTGATACTTGCCCGATTACGCGAAGATGAGGAGGACCGGAGAGGACGAGGCACAATCGTTTACTAGACGGATCAACCAAATTGTGTTGCGTTGACTGACACAGTTGAGTGGACTAGCAAAAAATACAGGCGTCTGAATGATCACATGAGTAGAGCCGGTGGGGGTTGTACATTCAGAGGGGCGACCCCGCGTGACCGACGGACACGCCGTGAAAAGGGGGACGTGTGTATGGGGCTGTGACGACCGGGTTATTAGACATGCATCAACATAATTCAGCGCATAACATTTGTGGTGCACTTCCCACGTTTCAGTCCATCAAAAGTGAACTGGAACCTCTAAGGTTAGAACTACGCGCCCTCCAATTACTCTGCGATCAGTCCCAATCAATAGCATCTGCTACTGCTTCGATGGGCCTCTCACTTATCAACATCCTCAGCGACGTCAAGAACAGCAGCACATCACCCCCGTTCCCTCCTCCAGAGACGATTGTGAACTTTTCTTTTGAGTTCGCCGTTTTTGAAAAGAGGTTTCATTGGATGACAATCACCTTGGACGAGGCCAGTGACAGTGTTTCTGCACTCGTTAGCGCATTCAAACAATACGACCACCGGCTCACGGAGGCACGCGCATGGATTCAACGTTCCGAGGTGGTTCTTCGAGAAAAAACGGAGAATGTGGGACAGTCGAGGTCTCTAGATGAGGAGGATGCCAAGAAGCACCTATTGGTGATTCAGGTTGGTACATTTGCTCTAGTGGTGAACTTAAGAGCCAGACTTAACACAAATTCTTGGTTGTGTTTTACTCAACAGAACCTGGTTTCAGCGTTCAGTGATGGGAAAAGACTGGTGGACGTCGTGGAAGGCGTAGCCTCGGATCTATTAACATGTGCTGTGGAGACCAATCGCTGGGTAGTGAATATTCGCCACGTACTCCAACTTTCGTCTACACGCTCCCACGACGTAAATGCCGGAGCCATTCTGCCGAACTTTCGTGTCACCCTTCTGGAGACCGGCGAGGAGCTTCGACAGGACCTCGGGAAGTACTTCGTCAGCCTCAGCACACTGAACGAGGAAGCTGAAGTGCGACTTGCTAAATGCTCCACATTCAGTGACAACTGCTCGCGGTTTGTCGAGTGGCTCACCACCTCGGAATCCGATTGGTGCATTCCGCCGGTGGGTGAAGTTGACTCCGTGGCCTTAAGCAGCGACGATGGGAACAAATTTTTATCGGAAAAGCAGGCCTTGGCGTCCATTTACAGGGTGGGTGCTCTTTCGCTGTCTTCTTGATGTTTTGAGTGACTTGTGAATCTCCCCTACACTCGTTTTCGTATTTTAGCAACGACTTTTGGATGTACGAGTTCACGAAACCGTCCTTCAGGAGTTGTTCGTGTCAGCGGGGATCGATTATGAAAGTGACGTGAGTGCAGTCGAGGCGGAAGATCGTGCGGACCTTATTCGACTTCTTGACGTCAAACAGCGGTTCAATTGGCTTCATAGCTGCGCGGCTAACCGTGTCACTTTAATGGAAGACGCAGTAAAAAAAGCCGAGGAGATGGAAACCCGAATCCAGGCGTTCCAGTCAGCCGTTCAAAACACACGCAGGCAGTTAACAAGCGTGGAGTGGGACGTTGTGGAGTTGTCCACCTGGGAACGCCTGAAGCCGTCTGCTTCGGAGCCTGTCGTGGAGGTAGTCGAAGAGGTCATTCACCAGCTCTCCGGCAGTCTTCAAACGCTTACTCGACTTTCACATGACCTTGAACAAGCCGTTGAAACGATCGACGACATTCCAACTTCGCCACGTCTCAACGAAGATGCTAAAACAGCTCTACCCAACAAGTTGCGAACTCTTCGAGTTTACATTGAGAAGTACATTAAATCGTCGATTGCTTTTGCAAATTCTTACCGGACGTTAGTTGACAGTCTTAGCAAAGTAGATGCCCGCATTTCAGAAAAGGAATATCTTTCTAAATACACCTCTCTTGATGTGTGCCGACTAAACAGTGAGGAATGGACATCGCTTCGAGATGAGATCCAAGATGAGCTGTCGGTTTGTTTGCAGCTGGAGCAGGATCTACGAGATGAGAAATTTGAGACCAAATTTAGTGCTCTTCGGGGGAGATTCGACGACTTCTTGGCTTCCCTAAGAGCCATTGTCGCCACATCTACGTCGCAGTGTTCGGCTACCCGATTGTTCGAGGCTCAAATCCTCAGGCTTACTGAAATGCTCCAGGTCTGCACGAAGACTGTCACGAATCTGCGTGACGACCTCGATGCGCAGCTGAGGAAGGGCGATCTTTACCACGACGTGCTGAATTCGTGTCAAAGTCGACTTGACGAGATCGAAGCAGACCTAGTTGGCACTCTGGACTCGGCGACCCTCCGTGGGGACATGAAGATCTGGCTTGCGGACACCCAAGACCTTGTCTGCAAGGTGACGGCAATCGAGAGTCACCTCTGTGACTTCCAGACCAAGGATCTGGAGAGCCTGGTGTTGGCGGCTCAGTCGAGTGATGAATTTCTGCCTCTGTCAACTCAAGCTCTCCAGGATCGTTGGAGCGAACTGGTTACACGAGCAATTAATGCACGCGCAGCTGCCGAATCGTCCCTCAGCGTAATCCAAGATGCTACCGAGGCGTTCAAGGACATGATTAGTTGGATCGGGGAGGCTCAAGAACGTTTGAATTCGATTTGCGTCAAATCAATTGAGTCTCCTGGTAGCTTCGACGTTGAAATTAATGAACCGGGATTTTTAATCGACAGCTGGAGTGGATTTGTCGAGACAAGGTCGTCACGACTGTCCAAACTCACGGTAAGCTACCTGAAGCCCCTGCTCTAATCTGGCTGCTTAATTGCCTTTCCCATAGTTGAAGCAGGCTGTTTGATACTTGTTCATGTCGATATTTTTCCTGTCGCAAATGCTTCTTTCTTTAAGTTTTATACTCATGGCTGCGTCATCTTTGATTTTAAAAAAATACCTTTTTGGTTCAGAAGCTCCACGAAGAAGCCGTGTCGCGACGAGCAGCAATCCTTTCGACTACGGAAGGATTAGGCAAACTGAAGGGTCCATCTCCACCGAGAGCCGATCCATCGGCTATTCGTGCCATGGAGCTGGAATTGGCTGACGCTTATGCCGATTTGATGGAGCGCTGTCAGACAGTGCTCAGTGGCGAACAGGAGGTCCTCAAAGGAACTCAAGCCGCTCTCGAAGACGCCACTTCCGCTCTGAACGCCGTGGAGAGTCTTTCGGATCGGGCGAACAGCCTAATTTTTGGTGACGAAGTTGGCGCGTCTCTGGAATGGAGACAGGTCTGTTTCAGGGACTTCCTGTCCATTGAAATGTCCACGGTTCGAGAGTTAGTGGATCGATCGACAAAATGGGTCGTCACGCTGCCCGAAGTTGATAGCCGCTTCGCAGAGGCGATTTCGACGAAGATGTTGAGCGAATTGGCGAGGATTGAGGAGAGAGTGGTTGGACGCGTGGACGCTATGGAACAGTTTTCGCGACATCTGAAGGAAGTTACTGAACATATCACTACTGAAGAGACCTGGCTTCGTGAATTTACTCCCAACAGGGATTTCTCCTTCAAGAAAGGGCCCAACACTCTGGCGGAAAAACGTGATTTGGCACGCCACCTTGAGGTAGGTCTTTTCTGCTTATTCTGCCTGTCATCAACGAAGTCACGCACATCTTCCAGCTTTTTTAATTGACTGAAGCAAATGGCTGTTTTGTGAGTATGCTGCGTGTGGGAGAACTTCCCATCCCAAGTTCAAGAGGGTCTTCTAAGTCGCGCGATCAACATGAGGTCGAGAATTGTCTTCCAGCATCAGTATGACTCCGAGAAGCTATGTTACCCACGTAGACTTGTTGTTTAGTGTTCTGAAACCTTGCATCCAATGCTTTCGAAACCACAAAAGACCGCAAAACGTATTTCTTTTTTTTTCAACACAGCTTTAAGCTCGAGAAAAAAGCTGTACAAGCTAAATCATGCACCTTTGTCTTCCAGATTAAACTAGAGGAGATTGACCGCCATATTGAATCCGTGAAACGCCTGTCTGAAGAGCCTGACCTACCCGCATCAAGTGGTGAATGCGCATTTGTCCTCCCACCAGAACTCACTTCTCGCCTCCAGAACCTGCGTCAAAGTCTAGTACTTCAACGTCAAACGGTCACCAACCAAAGGCAGCGTTGGATTCAAGCAGGAGACCAGCACGCAGCCTTCGTGGCGAACCTTTACTCCGCCTGTGACCACGCAAATTTGCTTGCAATCGAAGTCCAGAAGTACTGGGTCACCTTCCAGGACGTCTGCAAGGACAAATCTTCTAGTCTGGATATGATTTCATGGACTAAAGAAGCTGTTCTACAGCGTGATGAACTAGTCAAACTGTCGGAGACGGTAAAACAGCTTAACCACCAATTTCCTAGTGTTCGCGCGACAACAGGTTGTGATAGACAAAGTCGGCTAGACGCCGAGCTGGACGCATTGCGCAGGTTCTTGGATGGCTTTGCAGAGGCAACGGACCGACGCTGGTCATTACTTGATGCCCTTCAACTCCAAGTTGGTGAATTTAACCGAGCTGTCCAGCGATTTTCACGTAATTTTGAGAGCTTTACTGCAGACTTTATCCAAGTGCTGTGCTCGTCGGTTGAACCATCAAGCTCAACACTATGGAAGTTGCTTCAGGAAGCTGGAATCAGTCTCTCCTCGGATTACGATAGTCTTCAGAAAGCGACGCGTGCCTTAGAGGCTCTGGTGAATCAGGCCCGCTCTGACAACACGGTGGTACCGACAGTGGAGAAGGTGGAAGATGCGGAGGTTGACGATGAAATTCAGTGGAATGCGAAAGGAATTCGACAAACAGTGGACCCTCCTGAGGATAGAACTCTGGACTTGCTCAAGACAATCGACGAAATGGCTGAAAATCAAACATCACTGATAGGTTCCATAACGGTGAGTAATGTGCATATTATTCCACTCAGTTTCACCGATTATGACATTGCTCATATCCACCTTGTAAGTTAAGACACAAATAAACTTGTGCTTTAAAAGCTACCAGTACCGTTTAATATTTCAAAGTTTACCTCTAACCTCTTGGAGGTTGTCCCGAAAAGATATGTAATGATGACGATTATGGCAACTTACCCTCGAAGATGCAACAGCAGCAGCAGCTTCCACACCTTCCATGCCATGGGGCGTCATTTCATTAACGTGGACGTGTCTTTGGATCGCTTTTATTGAGGCCCTGTCCATGTTTAGAACCTTCACGAAGCAGCCCAACGGCTATCCGATGCGCGGAGGCATCACAGCCAATCACGCAAGGCCTGTAAAGAGTGGATCTCAGAGGCTTCGAAGCGGTTGGCCACGTGCAAAGGAACCACAGTCGACCATGTGTCTCCTCACTTCGTATCTCTGGAGCAAAAGATCGGCCATCTTCGAATCCGTCACCAGAATATCGAGGTACAGATGAGTGTTGTATTTCGTGCAGTTTTTTCCACAAAATCCTAACCACTTTCTGCATTATTAGTCACTAGCAGAGGCGCACGTTGGGAATCAGACGAAATTCGACGCTAACGAGACGAACGAGGCCAACCTTGTTGCCTGCCACGCGTGTCTTTTGCAAGCTCTGAACGAGGAATGTGCGCGTCGCAAGATAACTGCGACTTTTCCTTCGCCTAACGATTGTCTAGACGCCGCCACTTTAAAAAGCGACTGGCGTGGCCTTCTGGAGGATATCCAGCACCTTAAAAAGTCGATAGCTAATCGAATATCGGAATGCGAGGAGGCGTCCAATGCAGTGGTTTGGATGTCGGATTGGATAAGGGGTCTGGAACGGAGGATAGCAGACAGCGAGGTGACCTCATTCGACAGCTTCCAGCTCCCGTCATTCCGACGAAGCCATAATCTACGGCCCTATGTACAAGAACTTCAAACTCTTCAGATGCTTGCGAAGTGCCAACAAGAAGTTTTACAGTTTTGGCAGGTGTGTTGACAGGCATAGAGGCTGTGGGGTTGGTTAAAGCGGCAGCATTTGCAGTTATCTATGATCTTCATTAGCAAATATTTGCCAAAGCACCTGACATTGCCTTTTTTCCTGATCTCCAGGCTATGTATGCCGAAATCGAGGTCCGACGATCCGAATTCGATCAATTTGCGGGAAAAGTTGTCGTTGTTCAATCAGACTCCGACCCAGTTACGCAAAATTTTCGCCTCCGTCTTGAGGCTGCAACCAAAACTGTTCAGGTGAGTAGTTTTGGATTGTTGTGGTAAATATCTACTACCTAGTCTGGCTTATTGACCTTCTTTATCCACTTCACGTTCGAGGCTGTCTTCAGTAGGAGTGAATGTAGGCGTGATTGATCTGTCCGTTTCAGGACTGTCTCCAGCAGAACACATCTGGTGCCGATTTGCTCAACCAAGTTTGCACAGACCTCGTGGCGTATAATGACTGGGTCAGTGAGGTTCAGCAACTAGCTGCCTCGAATAACGTCTCCATGCCGACGCTGCTAGGCCTTGAGTCCAGGCCGGGTGTGCGCAAGGGTCAAGACCGAGTCTGCGCCCTCTCCGCCTCTATCGATCAGTTGGCCGTGGGGTGTCGCTCGGCTATGGACAACATCTGCCCCCTCGGCACGGCCTGCTCGTTTTCCTCCGAAATCCTCTCTGATCTCACTGGAGCTTGGAAGCTTGTTAGCGACCAGCTTCCACTGGTTCGACAAAAGAGCCAAAACGAGGCCAGTGCTTTGGCAGATTTCAGGAGTGACTTCGGGGAAGTGAAGGCATGGCTGGTCGAATCTCAGGCGGCACTGCAAATCATTCGAACCGACCTACAGCTTAATTACAGCCGAGGCGTCGAAAGCTACTCGAAGGAGTTGAGTAAGCAGGTATCTCCGTCGCCTTCGGTGGAAGCTGCGACCGAGTGTGTGACCTTGTACCTTTCAAAGAAGGAAAAGTTGGCTTCGGAGACGGCTGCAATGGTGAATCGTGTTAGCGTAAGTCACCTCACCTCTGTAGAAGGAAGTGGTAACACCAACAAATTGTGCATGAATATGGGGTTGGGATTTTAATGTTTAAGTCGGTTCCAGTGGCAACGGAGCAGATGGTTTAAAACAAGACGTCTACTAGTGCACTTTTTACGCTCCATTTTAGATGAAGAATCGTGATTTTGACGGACTCCTCGAAAAACTTCGAAAACTTCGCTTCTTGAACATCGAGACCACGCAACAATTTGCCGTAGACGTCGATGATCTTATCAACCAGTACTCGGAGTTGCGTACACAAGCTAAACAGGCGTCTGAACAATCAAACGACGTCCTGTCGTGTCACCTGAACTTCCTGTCCACCTCGAAGACCTTTCGAATTTGGCGCGAAGAGCTCAGCCAATCGTTGCTTAGCGTTTCAGATTTTTCAGGCGATCGATACACGCTCTTGGCAAGATTTGATTGGTTCAACGTAAGTTCATGTGCATAAACTTTATCAGCTACTTTAAACAGTGTGCAGCACTAGAATATTACAAGGCTTGAGGCCCATTTACATATTTTAAATTGGTACATTACTCGGCCAATGTTGTGGTAGTATGGTAATATCTTAGGTCAAGTAAATTGTGTATTTAATCATTATCACTTCTAACTTTCTGTTTCAAGAAATACTTGGTAAGTTGATCTTCTTTATGTCGGTGGATGTTGTTGCATGCAAGATTCGCGTTGTTAACATGGTTTAATAAGGGAGACAAAGACTTCATTTATGAATGGATAAAAAAATCGCCTTGTTCTTATTTATATTTGTTGTGACGTCACAACCAATCAGGTTAGGGGAGAAGTTACTTCCTGTCTTTTTATTGGACACACCCCGTGGCATGTTCACGAGGCTGCAAATAGACCTTTTTTAATTTGAGCCGAGTGAATTGATTGGTCAGTTTTACTAAGATGATGCTAGATGCCAGTTACCCTATATAATAGTGACTGGAAGCATGCTAGATTTGCCTTGTCCTCTTTTGCGCGGAATGTTGACTTTCCTAAATTTCTTCCAGCACATCGAAACTCTCCGCCAGAAGGGAGACGCGAAGTCGACCGATCTAAAAGATGTCTGTCTTCGCTGTTTGGCGACGTCACCTTCCGAGGTCTTGCCGGCTCTGCTGGCGATTTCAACTCACCACCTGAAGGAATTCCAGAGCCTCTACGATGAAGCCGTTGGTGTCCACCGTCGTTTTTCATCCATCCTCGCAGCTTTGGAACAACTTGATTCCAAGGCGACTGAAGTGGATAGGTGTCTTCTTCGCTTTCAGGACCACCTTGCAAAGTATGAGACGCCATTTTCAGAAAACCTACAGACCCTTCACAGCACCGTGGATGTTCTTTCACAAGCACTCGATGCTCTCAACGGAGCAGCTAATGAGAGTGCGACAGATCCAGGGCTCTGTTCGGAAGCTTCAGCTTTGAGAAAGAAGTTTGCTGAACTTTCGAAGCAGCATACGAATCTCAAATCCATCCTTGAAGACATTCCAGTTGAAGAAGATCCCAGCGCAGTTTCAACAGTCGCTCAGCGGGAGAAGAGTCTTGACGACCTCGCCACAACCATAGAGAGAATGCGTTCAGCCTGGCAGAAGGCGTCAAGTTTGTATAGCGCGTTCTCCAACGAGAGCCAGGTGCTAGGCAGGGTAGCCGAAGAGTTTGCTTCGCGTGTGGAAGCCTTTGTGAAAGAGGAGGCCACATCTACCACAGTTGTTAGTGTGAGCGAGTTGATGAGCAGGTGTGGTCAGTGGATGGATGAACATGACACCTTTCCACAAGAATTAAAGCGGGTGAAGAGTAAACTGGCTTTGTTGACACCCTGCACGACCAACGCGACCCTTCTCGATCTACAAAGTGAGCTCACGCGCTATTGGACCCAATATGTTGCCGCTCAGCAATTGGGCAGGTCTTTGGTTAGGCGTCTGGAGGAACGAATCGACACAGATGCAAGATTGAAGGCTGATCTGGCCAATTGCGATTCAGCACTATCTGAAGCCGAAAATGAGCTCCAGCGATTGGCTACCTCTGATCTCTTTTTATTGGAGCTTCCCTTGCCAAAGCCGCTCATGCTTGCTACTACACCAGTGTCTGAATTGAGTTTCAATTTCGCGAAATTTTCAACCGTGGTTGGTGATTTTGTGAGCACACAAGGGCAGTCAGTTAGTAAACAAAACGAACTCCTGTCCGACTTTTTGGCAAAGCTCGCTAGCCGAGAGAAAGAGATCGACGATCTGATGAACCAACCTCTTCTCGAAGACAACGCCTTCGAGATTACAAAAGCCACTGTGGGAAGCCGTTTAAAACGCCTTGTTGAACAGGCGAGACAATCACGAGAAGAAGGAAATGCCACTGAGGCTCTTAGTGTTGATGTCAAAACGACGATAACAAAGACAGTCGACGAACTGGCTTCGACGATAGAGGGCTTCGTTCGTGCAGAGGCCGACTCTCGACAGATCTCGGATGACATGGAGACGAAGTTGGAGAACATTCGCGAGAAGCTAGGATTCGTTTCAAAGCAACTGAACAAAGACGCACCACTTCTAACCCAGATCAGGTCAGCTTATCAAAGGCTTCCAGTGACCAAACAGAAATGGAAGATTCACGCTAATATGCTTAACCTGTTAGCTGATGAAGTTGACGGTCTTCGTGGACGAGTGGACGACTTGAACGCCACAATTGGCGCAGAGATCAAAGAGCTGACACGAATTACCAGTCTCCAGATACAGTTATCGGATCTTCATTCAGCGCACGTCGCAAAGCTGGAGGGAATTTTAGTCAGTTTGAACCAACCACTGTCAAGCCTCGAGGCTACCTCTGAGGAGGATCTGATGTCTCAATTTAGTGCACTCGCTGCCTCCGTAAAGGCCTCCAACGAGGATCTGCAGTCCTCCACCACTGAGTACAACCGTAAATGCAACATTGTCTTGTCGAATCTGGCGGATGCGGTGGTGAATTACTCTTCCCACCGTCGTCAGCCTGTTGGAATGCTGGTCACTCGAATAGGCCACCTGCGGGTCACCTTCGAGGAGACAGAACGACAGGCAGAAAAGTTGGCAAGGGACCTTGCTGAGGAGCTGGAAAGGTGGGAGGAGTTTCTCTCAAGGCTGCGAAGACTTCGTCAGTGGATACGTGCGCGCGAATCTGATTTCCAGGTGTTCTCCACGGCGACTTCCGTGGTTGAACGCATGAATGGCTTGCGGAGTCTTGAAGAGACCATGGCAAAGACGGGCAGACCGATGCTCGACGAGGCTTCAGCCTCAGGTCGCACTCTTGTGTCCCTTCGGCCGAAACTAACCATCGTTGGTACCGCAACCACTGCCATTTCCGACCGTTACGAAGCATTGGTGAAAGCCATTTCTGAGGTGCAGAGCCAAATAAAAGGCACAGTTGTGAAAGAAGAGGAAGTGAAGCGAGATGGCCAGTCCTGCGCTGGCATGCTAGACCATAGAGAAGAGCAATTAAAGGAGCTGTGTAGGCTGCCAATTATTGTGTCTGCGGCATCTTCAGCCGTGTCAGGAATCAAAGAACGTCTCCAGAAATTGGGTGAATTTCTGGACGACCTCGAAGACCTCAAGTCCACGCACCTTCGTCCACTCGATGAACGTGTTCAACAGATGCGAACTCAACTCGACGCGTGCAGTTTCGATCAATCTGAAATCAGCAGTGTGGTATTGACGACCTCGGGTTTGTGGGAACAGTTTTCTCGCCTCTGTGAAAATGCGTCTTCAGCCATCGTGGAATTGAACACCTTCCTCAAAGCTTGTAATTCCTTTTACAAAGTTGCCGAGGATGCAAAATCGTGGCTTGATTGCCAAAAGGAGGCTTATGTTGTGTTGGATCAAGAAGTATCTGATATAGATTGTAACGATATACGAGAATTGACCGACCGACTGGCAAAACGGGCAAACGACATGCACAAATTCTGTATGGACTTGCATTCCAATGGAGAAAATTATCTGACTAAGTGTACTTCTGAATGTTCTCGTCTTATTAACGCCGCTCGGTCAGTTAGCAAGTTCCTCGTGCAGAACAACTCGTCCCAGGTTCTTAATCAGGAAAACCTCATATCGGCATTACAGTCACGCTACCAATCACTTAGTGAGCGATCTGCTAAACGGAAGGATGAGATATCGGCTCTCCTGTTTGCTCTTACGGCTTACGACGAGTTGTTCACCAGTCTCCAGTCGTGGCTCATGTCAGTTGGGAACGAGGAGGCGTTGGAGGGCGCTGATGATGTGGCAAAGGAGATGGCTCTCTGGTCGACGCCTCCCAGCTACCTGACAATCAGGTCAAGCAACCTTCTTTTTCAACTCACCCAGGCTCATGAACGCGTCGGCCAGATTGGTGAAAAACAGGCCCTCCTTGATGCTCTGTTGTGGCGCTCCAATCGCCTGTTGGAGGAGCACGGGTCTTCCGGAATAACTCGATTCGCTGCCCATCGAGCAGGTGCATTGTCGCGCCAATTCGTGGAGCTTGCTACGCGTGTTAAGCACCAAATCGAACAGAAGTCGATGTGCCTCAGAGGCATCGAAAAACTCCAGGAGGCCAGAGATTGTTATTCTGCCTGGGAAAAGGGCATTCGAGCGGACCTCGCACAAGCTCGTCATGAAAACACAGCTGACAAAGTGCTGGCAGCCACAAAACGAATCACCGAGTCTGTGGATATGGGTGATGTGCTCTTAGACACCTGTCGTCGATGGGCTCTAAGTGTCCAGTCAGATGCCTTAGGCTCCCCCGCCGTGGAACCATCTCTGGTCCAAGATCTCATGACCAGTTACGCGGCTCTGAAGAGCCTCCTATTCCAAGAAGTGCAAAAGGCAGAAAGACAACTAACACAGTACCAATCTAAGCAGCTTCAAATAGCATCACTGTCTTCCTGGCTCGACGGCGCTGAAGCTAGTCTTCAGGAGGTCATCACCTCAATATTTTCCCCGCCTCCTCCAGCTAGAATGAGTGGTGGTAATTCCTTCCTGTCTATTGTGATCTTCTGCGAGCAAACTGCCACGAAGGCGTTGTCAGAGCTGTGCGCCCTGCAATCGGAGTGTTCCAGCAGAGATCCTGTTGATGAAGATGCGCAACTCATCTCGCGTTTCCACGCATTCAAGGTTAAACTGGCTCAGTGCACTAAGGAGGTAGAGGAACGCGTCAAAGAACTAAGCGCCTACCGAGAATCAAGCGAGCTGGTTGCGCTTCGACAACAGCTAACTCTTGAACGGTACATTCAAGCCACTGGAGAAAACTGTCCGACTCCAGAGACAACCTCACAACTCCAGGACCCTCCCACGACTATTCTCGATGCCCTTCTCTCACCATACGATGCACAGCGTCGTCTGACGGTGCTCCAAGATGTCTATGACGAAGTGATGATTGAGGGTCGACAACTGTTTGAGACGATGATTGAGTCTGCCGATCGACTGGTCTCAAGTAGCAGCTGGAGGCAAGAGGATGTCTTCCTTGTGGAGGTTGTCAACGATCGTTGCGAGACACTCAGGGGCGAGCAGATGAGGCTGGAGGGACTGACAAGGAAATCGATTGAGCTACTGGAGGGCGTTCTGGAGATGTGGAGGGCGATTGTGAAGTCAGAAGAGGCCCTAAGCGAGTGGTTGACAGGCATGGAGCAGGCGGCATCGCGACCCAAACAAGACCCGGAGACATCCTTAGCCGAGAAGAGACAGGCTCTAGAGGAAATGCAGGTATGTACTTTCAGTGTAGCTTAAAAAATCGGCCGCCTAGTCATCTAGCACGGAGACACTTCTTGTGTTCCTAGACCCTTCAAAGTGGTCTTAGCCATAAGGCCGCGGCAATCGAACACCTCTTGTGCGAAGCCGAGCGTCTCAACCAACAAGTTCCACAGCTTCAGGTAGCCAAGAGAGCCAGACAGCTGTCAAGCCGATATCGCGCTTTAGTGGACTTCGTCCAAGTAAGTACACTTTTCTTCCACACCAACGACTTGCATCTGGAGGTGCGAATCACTTGTCTTGAGGAACTTTTGCCAACGTCGTGTGCAGCTATTAAATTATGGTCAAATATAACATGACTTACACAATTACGATGTATTATGCTGGTTTGAGAAGCTCACAATAAGGGATCCGTGATTGGCTCGCAAAACGCACATGTCGCAATTGGTTAACAGAATTCTGTCAATGTGGTTTTGTATTCCAAATCGATGGTGATAATAATGAGGTCAATAATAAGATCGAATCATCTCATGGTTACGTTGCCATGCCACAAATTGCGGTGATTGAATAAAGTAACACGCACACACCACACGCACACACTAATTGAGCTTCTTTTAAACAACCATCCAATCAAATCAAGCTTTCACTTTCAGCAGCCAGTGAAATTGGAATCAGAAATAGTCGATGATAATTGGTCAGAATTGGCAAATCCTCAAACATGGCTAACAATTTGCATAAAATTGTCTCCTATGTAACAGATTTGACATTGCGCCGTCAAATTACCATCTGCGTCTGTGTTCTGCAAACTGTATCTCTGGTGAAACCTTACCTAATCGTGATGATGCTAATTAAGTATTTTTGGTATTGAGGACCAGCAGTTTTGCAATCTTGGACAGAATAGTCTACTAGCTTCGTTTTGTTTGCTTTTGTCTATTTTAGGCACAGACTCGACTTGATAGCGAAATTATTGACGAACTGACCCGCTTTGAAAGCTCACTGGACTGTATTTACGCCAAGATTGTGGACTACACATCACTTGTCGAAGAATTTCGCGCTGAACAAACTCCTGCCAGCCATGTGGAGTTGACTGCGAAGCAGTCTCTTTTGAAGGTGGGGTTTCCAACGTTTTCCTTTTATGTCAAAGGTAGTCGTTGCCTTTGGCCACTTTGTAGATGAGTAATTAAAGTCCTATTCACAAGTATCTTGCGATATCAACATAAATTCAACCTCTTTCTTTGTATTTAACTGCAAAACCATGCCTAACTGAACACAGTTCCACGTAACTATTTGACTCTTTCTTAATCAGTCAACTCTCAATAATATAACAACATTGCGAGACTCGTCAGAACTTCGAGACCTGCTGGGCAATGTTGAACGGATGAAGACGCACGTTTCGGCAGACGTGGCCGAACGCTACACTCGACGCACTACCGAAATTGGCGTCTTCGTGGAAGACTCCACGCGTCATCTGGAGAAAGTTCAGTGCTCGATCACCTCGAAGCTCGAGGTGTGGGAGAAGTGGTCTTCTCTTGTGACGAAGCTGCAGGACGAGGTGGAACAAGCAAGCTTCGCTCTCAAGCAAGCTATTGCCGATTGCAAGATCTCTGCCACAACCAATCCCGTTGAAGAACTCAAGGGAAGGAAAGAGGCGCTTGAGAAGATGCGGGTGAGTGGTTTTGCACTTTTCGGGGCACCTTGTTTCGCCTCACGTCTGTTTACTGGTGTCGTTGTCATCCACACAGGAATTGCACGCCGTCCTAGCATCGAAGAAGCCCGAATTCAACGAGATTCGACGGATGGTGCAAGCCAAAGACGCAGAGATTCTCGACGCCCTGCTTTACCGCCAATCAAATGACTTGATTTCTCGTTTCAAGGCTTTGACTGCGGACGTTCAGGTATGGCATTCATCTACTTCAGTCCAGATCAAGTTGGGTGAGCCTAATTTTGACAATACATTTGAATTTTTACATTTAGACACGCAAGACTCGACTCAAGCGGTCATGGGAGGGCCTGTTCGCCCTGTCGAACAAGGTCAACGACGCAGACCAGTGGCTTCTGACGGCGTCTGTGAAGATGGCTGCGCTGAATAGCGCCTACGCCGACGGACCAAAGGCGATTGCCTTCCTTGTTCAAAACTGCGACAATCTTGTCACCGAGATCTCGCACTTTTTGACCGATCGTCTGGAGCAAGTAATCGTGGAGGTGCGCAGTAGCGAGAACTCCAAGAGAAAAAAGAAGAAGAAGATCACGACGAAGAGGAAGACATCCACCCGTCTCAGCACAACCAGTGTCCTTCTTAGCCAGCTAGAGACCATGAAGGATGAGGCAGAGGGCCTGATTCAAGTAACTGGTGTCATCAAGGTGTGCAGTGTGTTTCTTGTTGATTGTGTGTGCGTGTGTGCGTCGATTTCATGTGTATTTGTGTGTTGGTGAGTGTTAATCTAACGTGGTGAGTCAAATAATTGTCACTATGTCACGTTTTAAGGAAAACCTGCTTGCAAAGGCGTGCAACTGGGATGAACTGCTGGTGATTCTTGAAAACGGCGAAGCCTTCGTAGAGCTGCAGCTGCCGAGATGGTGGAACTCTGTCATCAGGCCAACGGAGGGCGAACAAGCCACCGCAACATCGCCACTGCGTCTACAGATCGACCAACAGCCCGAAGCACTTTCCACCGAGGTTTTACGCATGATTAAGGACATTGAGGTAAGTCGGCTCTCGAACAAGTTCAAGACAACCGCCTCATTTGCTGTATCTAAATCACGCTTAGCTATGTCTTGTAGTATTTAGTTGGTAATGAATAAGCCATTGAGGTTTGCGATTGATGGAATTGTGAAGGTATTCAACAGGTGCATCGAATCAACAACGTTACCGCGTCGTTTTGCCCTTTCGTGTACTGCCAGCGTGACAAAAGCTGCGATTTAAGCTTGATTTGGAGGTCCTACCGTATCCTCCATCTTCTCCAGACTTGGCTTCATCAGATTTTCAACTTTTTTCTACCATTGTTGGAAATGGTGACTGCATTCAAAGCCTGCACGTCGGTCTAGACTACCTTTTGATATTGACGATGACTTTATCAGTGATTTAGTAACGGGAAATTCATTGATGACCTCTGAAGAGATTGTTGAGTGAATACATAGTGACAATTCGAATACGCTTCACCGTTTCAAGGAAATTTGGAGCCCCTTCGAATCTCAGTATACGCGTTCCGCACGTTTCAATGGAACGTAACGCACTACTACTTCATACATATAGATAAAAAATTGCTAGTATATAAGAAGATGATGATGAGGAACAGAAGCTTGAGGCAAAGAAGTGAAAGAGTGGAATCCATGGCATGGGTTGACTTGGAACTCCTACGTAAACAACCATGATAATGGGACTGTACTGTGAAAGAATCGCCCGGCTCAATGCCAACATCCAAGCTGTGCGTCCAAATTCGGCCAATAGACGAGGCATAGGCTGTCACCAAGGCAACGCTAGACCGCATGTCGCTCAGCAGACACTGCAAAATTCGAGAAATCCTCTAGCAAGACCCACCGTATTACCCCGACCCAGACCCTTCAGATTTTGTTGTCTCCACAGTAATACAACGCCCTCCGAAACCCCTATTGTTTCGTCCTTCAGATCCTCCCACTCCCACCTCCTCGGGGCGTTTGTGAGTCATAAATGGGCCCAGATAAATCGATTGTCTCTGCGTGGGACTCGAACGCACGTCGGTACCACAGCAGCGGTCACGTTCTTGAAGCAGTTCCTTTCATTTTTAACGCATCGTTTCACTTGGACAAAAGAGTGGAGTTAACAATTATTGGGGAGAGGAGGAGACGGAGGAGGAGGAGGAGGAGAAAGAAATCCCGTAGTTACAAACTTGTGGGTGGGGTTCTGTCGGCATCTGTACAACAATAAGTCCAAACACAGTGCAAATATTTTGCTAGTGTGATTACCGGATGCTTCTGTTGCCTCCTAATTATGCTGCACACCTAAGTGACTGAATTGTGCGCGCGTATGCGCCGGTCGTATTCTCGTTTGCATTAAAACAAGGTTTTTGGCGTGTGCACGAATGCGACTGACGAATTCTTGTGCACGCAGGAACGCCGTTTCCAGCTCGAGAGTTTGAGTGCTCGGCTGTCGACGCCGTGGAGTCCAGTGACGGCACCGCCTGTTGTCCGCAGACGCCTTCAACGCATCGATTTGGACGACAACGAGATCAGTTCCACCGCGTCGCTTGGTGACGGTGGCGTTCAGACAAGTGGGAGCAAGATGAGGACGCGTGCCGAGAAACTTCTTGGACGCTTAGACGACGAGGTGCAAAAGGTTAGACACACGGTGTTAGGTTGAGGCCTCATCACCTTATTCAAACTAAGTCGTGGCTTTCGCCTCCTGTGTCGGAAGTAGCCCTTTCGACCCTCGTATTTTTGTAAAATAAGCGTCTATTGTGTATTACATTGTTGCACTGCTCTACGATCTTTTGCGTTTTCCCACGCTCTAAGAATTCTTTTGGACCCTATTGCTAAAAACCGAGCCAATTGCAAATTCAGGCCATCATCATGACTACATTTAACCAGTTTTGTAGACCTTGAAATAAACGGTTTTCTGATAGTGCAAGGGGTTTCTGACATCACACCTAAGTTCCACCGCTTTTAACCGAGTTATCGGACGCCTGAGACGAGGTCCTGTATTGTCGCGCTGGGACACGATTCTTCTGCGATTTGCCGGACCTGACCACTTATCCTCAATTGTCTTTTTATTCAATTTCATTGGTTCTTGTCCACAGTAAATGCCTAATTTGATTGGCTGTTTGCTTGGTAGCAAGTAACAACACACAACACCTTTGCATTCTCACCAAGTCCACGTGTGATTGGGTACGAGGTTCGATAGGTAACCAATAGGCAAATAATTTAATCCCGCCCCAGTCAAACACGATGTACTTAAACACCGACAGATTCTTTCGGCTGTGGTGCCGGAAATGTGGATTGTTGGACCAGAGTTAAGGGCCCTCCACAAAGTGATTTTGCAAAGTTGGAGCATAAAGTGACGTTTCCATAGAATATTACTGACCAATCACATTGCTATTTTCTTCCTGACCTTCCAGATGAAAAAATTGAGCGACCAGCTGAACACGTTGAAGTCACTTCGTGATCAGCGGGCGTTGTGCGAAAGCGAGGTCGCCGATTGGCTTAATTTAAAGGAATCAGAGGTTAATAGCCTGATATCCAAAAGGGGTACAGGTGAACCAGATCTCGGCACGACGTCCTTAAAGAACCTCCGCGACGAACTTCTAGCGAAGCGAGTGGTGATAGACGAGCTAGCCTCGTGGCAACACGGGCTTTTGCACTCGCCGGACGCAGAAGGCAATACTATCGGTGAACTCACTGACCACCTAGATACTCTCGTCCATCGAATCGAAAAGCGCATCAAACTGCACCGAGAGGTTGAGCACCAGGCTCTCGAAGCCTCGCAGTTGAAGTCCGAGGTGCAGGAGGACCTACAGAAAACGATTCAACGGATCTCGATGGTGTGTTGGTGTTTGATGTTGATTTGACGTTGTTTGTTTTGAATGTTACAAGTTCATTTTGTGCCTCAACTTGGTGTGTGTTGATACACAGCAGTTGACATAGCCATTCTCAAAGTCTTTAATCCCCATCCAAACACCTCGAAATCTGTGGGACCCCTTGCATTGCACTCGCTGTTCTAATTTCCATGATGTAAACGATGCATATCTCATCGTCCTGATCACACTGCATTGTTTATGTTGTTGATCTCGTTGTTGTTGTTATCGTCGTCGTCGTCGTTATCGTCACCAGCGTTGTCTTGGCTGAGTGCTTACCACTCCCCGGCATTCGCCGCTGTTGGTTCTTCAGGGTGAGTCATCGCGCAGGATCCGAGGTCTGCAAACTGTGACTAACCTACGGACAGCCCAAAGTTCTCCCATGACCCCACAACGAGGTCGTTCGCCGCTGACCGTGCAACTTCCACCCAGTCCGGTCACGGGCTCTCTTGAATGGCTCTGGTATTCACCGTCCAGTTTGCTTGAACAACCCGCGGACCCAGCTAACCCCACCCACCCACCACTTCAACAACAAGACATGTCCCCGAGTCCCCCTCGAATTCCCCTCCGACCGCGCCGTTCATGTGGCCAAGGTCGAGTGGGTCGATCAACCCCCCTGATCAACATCCAACGCCGTTGTCGCTTTGGCGGTGGTGACGACGGCGGAGGTGGTGGTGGTGGCAGTGGCTTTTCTTCTCCCCAAAGTTGTGCACTCGATCGATTCACTGATCTACGGGTTGATGCAACACCTCCACCCTCTGTTTCACCCCCTCCAACGCCCCTGTTGCTAGGTCGGTCGATGTCGCCGTACCTAATCGGAAGACGATGGAGACGTGGGAGCTTTCAAGCCTCTCCCAACGCCGTCGCCAGTACCAGCGGGCTTCCACAGTTGACCAAGAAGTTCTCCACCTCCTGCACCGATCTACTGCCGAGTCGACAAGCACTGCCACCTCCTTCAGGCATCCGCGCCTTCTGTAAGCCCAGTGACTTGGCTAGAAGACGCAGTCGCAGGAAACTGGAGCAACAGCAGAAACTGGACGATCGTGCTAACACCTAGCTTGCGAGACTAGTCTTTCAAGGCGTCTTTGCGTGTGTGTGTATGTGTACAGACAAATGTTTGCGTGTAACCAAGCTCATCCAGCTTCTTTTTTTGTAACATATTTTGTCGGTGATTGAGACTATTTGATAAAGAATTAAGACAACATTACGGAATTTTGACTCTCCAGTAACGAGTGTAGAAATTTTTTAGTTGGTGCAATTTCAGTGGAAGACTAGCGATAAAGGATAATCCTAGGAACTTCCCACCAAGTCCTCAGTTTAACAATCGGATTTTGAGGACGTATGACTTTCAGAGGTGGATCTCGATTGGAAATTGCATTCAAAATCGGTAGGACGCGCTGAATGTATTCCAGTAGTTCTGTTCCTTTTTCGATTTCGCCTCGTTTTTACTAAATAAGTGGCTCGAAGTCATCTTAAGGTCGGTGGGCCGTCCTCTATCACTGCAACCTAATTCGCTTGTGGTGCATATCCTCCTTTTAGGCGTCCAATTTACACGAAGATTCAACAAACCATAGGTAAGTATACATAATACTGACTATACTTATTTGTTTAATTAGCTAACTATTTTACTCTTGCCCCCTTCAGATCTTCAAGGACTTGGAGAGTGTTCGTCCAATCTAAAGGCCTACTGGGTTTGTGTGCGCTTGGACTTGGAGCGGCGTTGCTCCTGCGCTGTGCCTTTAAACACTTTCTCTGTGGACGCTCTTTTGGCGTTCATCTGGATCTTGCTGCAGGAGGTCTAGACGGCCGTTTCTTTCTGCCAAAGACCACATACCAGCCACCGATTTAGCCACACATCTGCTACATTGCCACATTTTATGATGAACGTTATTTATGGGAAAGCCTATTTTATATTAACGCTTTTTACTAATAAAAATATTACTCGAGTGAGTGATCCTTCTATTCCTTAAAGTGCTCGCTGGCGTTTGAATCGAAGGGTTCTGCCGATAGGTCAAGCGGAAGTGGGTTCTCCGAACTGTGATTCGTCAGTGTATGGACCAGTCAGAGTGTTCGCTGCTCCCGCATGCTTAGCGTTGTTTTGTGAAGTCGCTAACTGACTACACGTGTCTCCCATTATGACAGCAGACCGATAAACCCAGTTCCAGTAATTTGATACGCTTACTTTCGAGGCGTTTGAGTGATACGAGCAGTTTATAACGATTTCGAAAGCAGAGGACGCAAATGAACGAGATGGCTGCGCACACATGAACCCAAACTCTATGCCTTAAAAAGGCAACGAACATAAGCTGTGGTTGACTACAAATCAAGTGTATTTTCAAGGAAAGAGGTAAAAAAGACATTGCCTAGGTTTCAGCACCCTCCCAAGTGGGGTGGAAGCCCGCGGGAATGTGCTGCTTCTCGCGGTCGCCGCGACCCGGGCAGATGGCCATGAATTTGAAGCGCTTGCCCATGTGACGGGAGGCGATGAGCATTTCAGTCGCCGCAATCAGGCTCTTCTTGTCCTCCTCGCATTTCGCCTTTTCGACAAGAGCCTGCATTAAAGTACAGGAAAATTGCACGTTGAGACTTTGTTTGGCACACAAACACACAGGGTATCGGATAGGCGAGTTTGTGGTTTGAGAGTGGATAGCTAAGACTTGTGGTTGCATTGCATCTCATTCAGTATGAAACAATCAAGATGTACCACCTGCTAACAAAAGCAACGGCCTTTACAGATCTAGGATACGTAGTTTAAAGTCAGTAATATCAATCCAAGACACCGCTTTCTACGGTTTTGAAACGCAAATATCTTTTGAGGCACACCATAAACATTTAAGGAGAGCAGACGGTGATAGAGTAATGTGTTCCACAGCCGAGTTGAAATGAGCGATGCAGAAAAAAGCGGAGACACAAATCACAAACCTTGACGCGCATTAGGATGCCCATGTGCACAAGGAAGTACGCCTGACTCACAGGTCCGTGAACGATAACTACACCAAGAAGAAAGACGCGTCATCAACGGAGAGGCAAAAAATATGAGATGTGGAGGGAGGTATTGTCTACAAACAAATACCTTGCTCCTTTGTGGCCTCGATGGAACGGTGCAGGAAAGCAAAGTCTACGTCTGCGGTGATGTCGGCTTCACCGGGGTCCCTAAGTGGATCGTGAAGTTGGTGATTTTTAAATGCCTGTGAATCGGCAAAGTTGAAGAATTGTTACAGAACGTTGGCTGTTTTACAGAAGCCCATAAATTCATTAAATAAACTGACGTACACGCAGAGTGTCACCCTTTTCGCCGCAATGTCCATAATCAATGACCAATGCAGCGCCTCCATCAGCTGCAATCCGAGCAGCGAGTTTTTGGACTATGGCTCCAGCCTCGGGACAAACTTCAACGCAATTTTTACCGGAGAGATCGCCAGCGAGCTAAGAAAAAGACATTTAACTTATGGAACACTATATGTTGCAAACAACGGGGAAAATGATTACAGGAAGGTAAGTCTCGCAGGCCATGGTTAGTGAACGAGACACGAAAAACGAGAGCTGATCTCCTAATTCATTTGGATTTACAGGATTAACGGCATTTACAAATACTTCACGCCATTTGCCATCCACTAGCTGAAGAAAAGGTGATAAACCGAACCAGAGAGCAAACCTGAAAACGATGGACAGGCAAGGCGTCGAGGAATTCATGGGCCAAATAGTAGGTACTGCACCCACGAGGCACATCATCAATAGATGAGTGCCATTTGACCTCGGGTTTCAAATGAAGGGTTTTGAGAAGGGGGTATATGACCGTTTCCTGCTTCTGCCGTAGGTAGTCACTTCGTTCGATAAGATGAAGGCGTCGAAACAAGGAGCTCCCGGTGGGAAATTTGCATAAAGTCTACTTTCAAAAGAATTAAGGCAAAAAACCAGAATGCCAACCTTGAGGATGGTGGCAATCAGTGCACCACTTCCTGGACCGAATTCCACGATATCAAATGGTGCATTCTTGTTCAAATTCATCCATTCGTTAACTATCCAAACACCTAATAACTTAGCTCGTAGTCATTTTAGCAGGATTCGTACCTCCCCAAACACCTGACTTATTTCTGGAGAAGTGATAAAGTCGCCACCGGGTCCTACGACTTCGGATTTCTTATAATAGCCCTATCAAGTCGGTCACAAGTAACAAAAATTATGCTGTTCACATACGTACACCGGGTGGTGCATAGCAAGTTTCATGTATTCTGCTACTGACATTGGACCTGCAGAGCGAATTTGACGACAGATAATGGAATGTAAATTGTCGCTTCGACATGCTTGTACACTGAGCGTGCGACGACACCAGTGCTGCACACTGCGTATAACACGCATAATCTAAGTCTAATGACAGCCGCAGCCACTGCGCAAACCACCAATCAAATCTAGCCTTAAAAAAGAAGAATGCTCTGATTTGGCTAAAAAACAAACTACGACAAGATGCTAACTTTTGGTGGTTTCCTAGTGTAGTGATAGGTCTAAGTAGAGATTTACCGACATATATCTAACATTAACTGCGATTAAACAGCATTCAGACAACGAATTTTCATGAGTTCAAAACTTGTGCCGCATTTTATTTTAATTATATATCGACTGTTTTTTGAATGACTTATAATAAAAGCCTGTGTTCAATAACAAAATGACTTTAAGGCGGCTAAAAAGATATAGTGTGACTTGAGTGGGAGCCGATGTTGTCTAAAAGAACACGTAAAATCTGCGTACTTATTTAAATGTTAATGCATTTTTTGACTATGACTGAAAAGGAATTCCATAACGCACCCTAGGAATAACCAACAGCTAAGTCCTGACCTTTAGAAATGATTACAAGTTGCATGTTTTTGGATTAAACCCTAAAATTTTTAATATGATGTATAAATTTTTCTGCAATTTTAAACTAAAAAATCAGTTAAGTCTAAAAGTTAAAATTTAGTCTGCTGATAAAGTTTACAGTTTTTGAAATTATTCGCAATTGCTCTATTCTCACAATTTCACCATTCACACCCAGTCATTAAATTTTATTTTATTTTTCGGAACTCAATAAACTCAATAAATCCTCAGCTGCACAATTCATCTAAGGTCAGCCCCAAATTTCTTATGTAACTCCATATGCTCATCTGCAGTCCACAAGTAAAGATTTCTCCCTACCTGGGCATACCACTACACAATCTTCTCTGGTAAGCCCCATCATCATCTGGTACTCTAAATCCTAGCCCAAACAAATTCATTAGGAATGTAAATTCGGTAAGAGAAAATACATTTCATTTTCTGACCATACACATGTCATCAATAACAACAACGTCACGACAAATAAAAAGTAAAAAAAAACCCGTATCTGCATACAATTAAACAAAATCAAAAATGTGCTTTAAAAGTCAAGAAATTTACTCAAGCACGTCATTTTCGTAGCTTTGACAGGTAGAATAATTTTTAAAATCCCAATGGCAAACATGATGCATATATTCACATTGAAGTCATTTTAAGGCCATAATATATCACAGAACATCAGTAAATTGCTATTATTCGCCATTTAAAATTAATCTGCATTTCAACCAATGAATAATTGGTTCTCCCGACGTGCGAATACCGATATTATCATCCCTACTTTACCATGTAGCACCAGTAGCATAGAGTTGCTTTAATTCTCAAAATAGCTCAAATTATTTTTCAAAGTAAATGATTGCGTTCCGAATGTCTTAAAATCAGTTAAGCAAAATTATCAGTGTAATTTTATTCCGAGATCATTAAAAGTGTACTATAATAGTAGATTACTCGTTAGACTCCAGAAAGCGATTCAGAATTCGAGGGGATGCTGTTAGTGTAGTCTTATCCAAAAATTGGTCCTTATTAGTAATGGTGTGACGGTATTCATTTCAACACACCACAATAAGACATCTATACTAAAAAAAATGCCTATTTGAAAATTATATACGATCAAACAAGTCTAAATCACTTACTACTGGTTTCATTGTAAAGCAGGCAACTCCTCATCATCAAGAGTTAATTGCATTTACAGCAAAAAGTAGTGAAAATTGCATATTTCATCACCGCAGAGTACAAAAATCACCAGCGAAAAGTTGACTTTTCGGAGTCTGACATTGCGATGTACAGCCTTTGCTAGAATTTGTACATCAAATTAACCACTAAATGTTTTCAAAGTCTCACTAAAAATAATGCATTTGTCACCACTATACTGATGCAACCTATTTACTTATTATTATACCCATGTAGTAGCTAAAGCACAATGTTTTAGTAACAAATCTACTGTTTGCTCAATGATAAATTTATATATTTACGAAAGTTGTTTTAAAGAACTAATTGGATCAGTAATTTAGGCTCCCAAACGAATATCAGGTAAATTTTGCGTTCTTTTATGTTTTCCTGGTCTTATTCATGGTCGTTAACGTGTTGGGTTGTTTCTGATATTTTTCTTGTACGTTAACAAACTGACTGTGTAATTATTATGAAGAGTTTTGAGTAAGCGGCAAGGAATATATGTAAATTTCTTCGACATGTAGAAGCTGCACTTTTTCGTTTTCCTTTTTTTAATGGACGCTTTCATGTTCAATATACTTTTGTATCTGTTTACTTTAGATGCAGGACGAAATATGTGCTAATATTTATCTAACTTCCCTCCACTAAATGTGGATTTGTTGTTACCTTCCTCCATTGCTGCAATTTTCTTCCGTGTTTATTTACTTTTGCGGTTGCTGAGTCTGCTTAAAATTGATACGAGCTTGGCTCTGTAGGCCAATTGCGACTACGTACTTTTTGTGTTATTTTAATTATTAATCAAAAAAGCCGTGCAAATGAGGACATTCTGTGATTAATTAAATAGAATATAACAACTCATGCAATCACCAATTGAGCAATTAACTTTAAAACACGTCAATAGTTTAGTGCACGGATCACAACATTTCACGTGCGCAAACTTTCGACGACATTTCTTCTAAGCAGCAAAAATATTTGACTACTTAAATGTCTCTTTTTAATACAAGCATCCGACGTTTCTTTGTCCGTAATTTTGTTTCTTTTATTTGGTACGTCAATATGTGCTTTGCATTCTGCAAATATTTTATGAAAAATAGCTTAGTGCCCCGTGTTGTTTTGTTCAGGAGTACTCCGTTAAACGATACTCTTATGCATGTCATTACCCGGACCGTACTTCTAAGTATCCACATGATCCACATTTTTATTCATCAAAGCCTTAAAATATACGCCACGTCATTGACATGCTCAGTTTATTTGAAGTTAAGGGTACGTTTTTATTTTCAGCTGTAATTGTCTTTTTCGAACAGCTGTCGTACTTTAGGTGAGATACTCATTGTCACGTTCTTCGTTAAAATATTTTTAAAGTATGGTTTAGGTTGCTAAAAATCGTGCACTTCGTTAGTTTTCTTTACTTATGACAGTCTATCTGGTAGATATTGGCCATTTTGAATGCATATTTGAGTGTCCTGGTGTCTCACTATGTGCACACTGTCTGCGTATGAATTCAGATAAAAACGAGGAATTTCCTTGATCTACAGGTACCATGAGCAGCATAAACGGGGGCAGTTCTTTCAGGCGGCCAGGACCAAAGTCCGCTGGTAAGGGATCCCCTGCTACTTTTTTATGCTCCTATTTTACTCCATATTGCCGTTTTACTACTTTTTTATCATTTAAGCCTCCGGTGCTATTGACGAAGAAGGGTTTAAGCACGCCTTTATATCTGTTTCGTCGTTACCGGTATGCATTTATTACCACAACTCATCCAGGTGTAGATTTATTCAACACGAGACCTTTCTGAATACATGACGAAGATAAAGGACTCACTGTCTGTCAATGCCGAAGACTGGGAAAGACGCGTTAATGCGGTGCGTGTCGGTTGCATTTTTTTATGCATGCGCAATGTTTCATCGGCGGTTGACTCAGTGTTATCTCACTGGCGTTGTAGTTGAAAGATCTCCGAAATGTTGTTGCCAGTGGTGGGCATCAAATGGACGATTTCCCGGCTCTTCTCAGAACGCTGGAGACCCCAGTTGTTGGATGCCTTCAGGACCTTCGATCCCAGGTCGTGCGAGAAGCCTGCGTTACCGTCGCGTACGTCTGCCTCGTCGTTCTTGACCCAATGCTGGTTGTAGCGTTTTTCGTATCGTTAGTGGTCTTAGCTTCAATTTCATATCAGCATAGCCACAATATTTAATGTTTAACGCAGTAGATTAACCCTGTGCCGTGACCTGGGGCTGTACAGATAATAGATTTATTCTACAATTTTACTGTGCAGGTATCTCTCGCAAGAAATCGGTGCAAAGTTTGATCATTTCGCCGAGGTCATCATGCAAACCCTTCTCAACTTAATCCCCAACAGCACAAAAATAATGTCCACCAGCGCAATCACCGCAATCGGCTTCATAATTCGTGTAAGTCCAAGTTTTGCTAGGCTTTTGCGCATTAAGTGCTAGCGGTTGACCAATAATGACGCACTGCTTCCGATTCTCGCAGCTTCCTCCACGTAGGGCGTTTTCCCAAGTAGTTCTCCAGTGACTAATTCACCCGTTAATAAATCACCGCATTCCAAAGCAGTAAATCGGAGAATGCCACGCATTCTTCACTCCCTGGGTGATGAGTTAGCCCGAAAAAGTCCCATTTTTCAAGCCCGAATTTCGAATGCGACAAGGTGCCTCTTCTCTTGCCCTTTAGAACACGTTTGCCTCTCGACTGTTCCCAATCATTGCTGGCGGATTATCGTCCAAGTCGAGTGTACTGCGAAAGTAAGTGCTCTAGCCGTGTGACCTTTTGCAACCCCCCCCCTCCCCCTGCCTTGTGATTATTCGCCTAAAAATTTTGCATTCACGGCACGCCCTTCCAGCCTCCATCTCCTCTCGTGAGTCATTGCCGCAGCAATGAGCAAATCCTGGCGCTGTGTGTGTGTGTGTAGTCTATGTACACGCCCTGAGTGCTCGGTTGCTTTCGTTCGCGTTCCTCTCTTCCCCGTCCACCAACACTTCTCGTTGAGAAGGCGGTATCTTTATTTGTTACTACTACAACGGTCTAATGCGGCACCATCGTGGGACTGCACTCACTCTGGCGCCTGTCAATCACGCTCTCCGGGGTATTTCGAGGTTGCTTGCAATTTTATTGCCCTGCTGGCAGTTACGGCTGCGTGGAATTCTGCACGCCTCTCTGACTGGTTTGTTTTTTTCTCGTTATTGCTGCCTTCCTAGGCTTACGGATGTGTCTTAACACGCGTTCACACACACGCACACAACATCCCCCTTAGTCATCTGTGTGTGTGTAGACATGGCGTTTTCCGCTTGAAAGCTCTCCTTCTTTGACCTCCGAGAACGGCGCCAATTAGAATTCGACCAGCTCAAGTCGACCAGCCAATTGCATTCCACCAAAGCAACCCCATGGAGCACCGATTCGGTTGATTTCTGGTGCATTTTTTGACGGACCAAATGCCTTCCACCTCTAATCTGGCGTCATCGCGTCAACCGGGAATTACATCACGCCTGTGTTCCCATTTTTATTACCATGGTTACCATAAAATCGCGTATTTTAGGTGGAAAAAAAACAACTCAATGGCAGTGGTGACACACTGTGCGTGGCGTGTGATTCAGCGAGAGCTCCGATTGGTGCGTTTACTCGCCGACACTAGCTTCGGGCAAGTGCTGGTGTGGTTGGAGCCACCTGTTAATCGAGCTCCACCTTTCACAGAAAAACGCCTGTAAGATCTATGAAGTGATGGTGTTATTTGCAGTCTTTGCCCCTTGTGGCTCTGTGCTTGGTGTATCCCACATCATCGATTCTCTAAAACTTCTCCAGTCCTCGTACTTGCTCCCCTGGCCTTTGTCAAAGTTCCCCCAAAGCCTAATCGAAGTCGCCGGCCAATACTCGAAGCATTGGAGGTACATGTAGACAACCCGGCGGTCGGTCGTTGCTTTATCAAACCATTCTCGCACCTCATGGTCGTTAGCTTTTCCACTCCTTCGGAGTTCGTTCTCCTAGCTCCAGCCACATCCTCCACCTGACAGCGGCGTTTTGCGTTGTGAGATTCGCCCGTGGGTTGTGCGCACTCGCACGTTCTTCTCGAAGGCGCTGCTTTCCCCCCTACGCGCCTGCACTGTCGACCGTTGTGCAAAGTCTTGCCTTGTCCGTGCTCCCTCCCGCCATCGCCATCTTCACCTGCCTCTCCCTCTCTACACTGCTTTCGATCTGCGTGGGCGCTCCAGTTTGTCGTGACACACTCACCTGAAAGGGGTTGGGTGCCGAGGCTGCGCTGAGTATCATTCTCCTCGTCTCCTGACGTTCAGTATTGCCAGCAGTCTAGTGGATTACGCCCTCATCGACCGCCAGTATCCACGCCGATTCGACAGTCCCCAAACATTGTTCCAGTCTAAAGTGTTGGCGATGCTAAACTTGCCCGCCTCTACGCCGCCGCACTGATTCTTTAAATAGGCAGCGGTGTAGTTGGTGATCTCGGTAGCCGCCTTCCTTTGTCGTTGTATTTCGTTCACAGTTACAATCGTCGATGAAAATTTACTTGAATTTCCCCACATGGTTTATCGTGTATACGCGTTAATGCTACTCGCTTGGTCGTGTGTGGTTTTCAGTTTCCTTCCGGAATTTTTGCACGGAGGCTATTTTTGTGGGAGATTTGGCGGTGTCAGTTTGAGGTTTTTGCTCCCCTTTAGCTCCGCATCGAGCAGTGATCTGCTCGGCCGCCGAATTGTCATCTTTTGTGTAGTTATGGCATGCGTCTGCTCGTTTTGCTTACCATAAAAAAGATTTCATTATTTCCGATGTCCTTCCACCGTTGCACCAGTTAGTTGACTCGGCTTCGCCAAGAATTTCTTGGTCTGGTCTTGAATCAATTCGTCGTTGTCGAATGCCATGTTTCTCCTTTCGCCTGAACGCGAGGTTCGGACTGCGTGGGGATGTATTTACACTCCGGAATTCTCGTCTTGACGAAGGTTGGGGGTTGTCAGGCTGTCGAACCTCTTTGCCTCCGTTGACTAGCTTCGTTTAAACGGTGAAGTTGAGCAGGGTAGTGGTGTATTGGTCGGTTGTCTTATCCCGTACCAACCACACACACGCAAATCTCATCGTCATGCGAGGTTGGAGTTTCTGCTTGACTCGAAGCTTGTTTACTTCCCCGATACAGCGCCAAACCGCTACCTAGTGGCAAATCACCTCCGCAGCCAATCACCGCCGCATAGTCCGACCTTCATTTTTCTTCCGAAAGCGCTTTCTGTTGGTCCTCATCCAAGTCAGTCGATGAACGACCAGGACAGGGTATCAAAACTACTTCGTCTTCTCCCCGATCAATTACACAGGCTGTTTTGTTTGTCTTTCAGCCAATACGAGTTACAAAGGTCAAATTCTTCGTCTCATTGAACCAAACAATCAGCAAAGTAATACCAAATCGGGTGCTCAAGTGTAGAGACGAAAAACCTATCAAGGACGAATCGTCTGGTTTGACTCATGCGCATAGTTCTCGCGGGAAATCTTGACAAACCAGAGTTCAAAGTAGTCTAGAGAAAGCTTTTGTATGGTGAAGGTAGCTTCTTTACCGACAATTAAGGCAATTAAGTGGACATGAATAATGCATTAAATGCGCAACACGTCGCTGTCGATTGCGCCACTGTTCGGGCGAGTAGCTGCTTCGTGGAGTCGGTGGGTATTGCGAATAAGCATTGTCCCAGAACCATTGCTTTGGCAACCTAAAAAGTCATTTTTAATAACGTCAGCCCCATTTTTCCGAGGATTCTGCCTGGGTTTCGCTCATATCCCATTCGTGGTACTTCAAAAGAAAGGCCTGCCAGCAAATGCACATTTTGTGAAGTTGCCATGTGAGGCCGTGTGTGTGTGCGTGGGCGTAAACGCATCGGCCAGTACCGCTACCTCCATCTCACCAACAGACATCGGTGTGGGCACTCTTTCCCACTCAACAATGCTCCTACGGTCGATAGACAGCCAGAGGGCGTCTCAGACGTTTTTCCCCTGCCCAGCAATCTTGCTGCCTCCAAGTCTTGTCAGTTTCCGTGTGATCTCAGCTCCTTAAAGTGCTTATGGGTCGCTTGTTGTGCACAACCAATTACAAATCACTAACTCACAGGAGGCTTTCAGGTTTTTGAATTGTTCAGCAAGTTGGTACCTCCTAGATATTGTCGTCATGCGCCTTTACCTGCCCTCAGTACTTTCTTGTTCTTCCACCGAAGCATCAGGATTCCCAGCAAACGGAGGAGTTCATGCCCCGGGAAGTTGGTAAAGTCCGAAATTCACTAATTGCCGCAGTTTCTTCCTTGTTTGATTGGTTATTTTTGTACAGGAAAATTGACTTAATCTAAGTGAATGCAAACCCCCAGATGAATCTGGCACTGTTGGGACGATCATTTGATGGTTTAGAAGAAGTTGTGCATTGCCAGTTATGGTTAAACGCACACGCGCCGACCTAGCTGCATTATTTGCCCATTTTCACCCGAAATTAACCTGTTGCTTAGGCTTGGTTTACGGTCTCTGTTATCCGGACGCATAATTGGTCACTTTCTGGTGGCTGACTCCTGCTCGAACAAGCCCCCGTGGACTTCACGCGTCTTGGGGTGCATGTACACGAGAAATTTTCGCTTACATGATAAAACTTCTGTTCCAGGAGCGTTGGTCTTGTGTTTGTGCGCCTGTAACAACTCTTTCCTCCCTCTCTTTAGACATGTGTGTATTTTCCTCGACCCCATCTTCCAGTGCTGGCCCGTCCACGTGTTGGAGAGGCATATGGGCCTCATTCAGGAGGTCCTTCGGAAGGGAGTCTGTGACGCCGACCAGGACGCCCGCTCAGCAACCAGGAAGTGAGTACGCTCTTGTTGTTGTTGTTGTTGTTTTGATCTCCACGCATTCAATGGGGTTCTTGATTTTAACGCAAACATTGCCGGGTAATGTTGGCAGGCTTGAATTTATAGATGGTGGACTCAGCTGTTCATGCGCTAGAAGGTGCGTGCGTGTCGATGTGTGGTGTGATTTGAGAAGACGCGTGAAACACGTGCACTCCGCCACGTCACTTAGTAAGATGGAGGCTTGGGGGGCAATGAACAAGCTCACGCACACACACACGCGCGCGCGCCATCCTCCACGTGATAGTGCAAGCCGTCGACATCGAAAAAAGCAATGCAGACCTGTCCAAGTCCTCACAACTCGTTGGGGTCACCCCGCAGTCACTCTTAATTTTACCGTCTCCTGTTTGACCTCGTCATTAGCCGCCGTGTAATTGAGTGACACAACTCACGCCGCGTCCATCTTGTTCTGGTGGCTGACTTGACATGGTTCGTGTGTGTGTGTGTGTGACTAACCTGAGGCAGGCCCCCTGCCACGTTAACTCAATAGCCTTTCCGCTGCGTTGCAGTCGCAACTGGTGGTAGTGGTGGTGTGCTGTGATGACCTTGACAAGTGTGCGTGTGTTTACAGTGTAGGCATTGCCCTTCGTTGTTCTCCCTCACTTAGCTCCCTCTTACCTCATCACAGGTGTATATCTTTGAAATCATTTTTATATTTGTGTTTGTTAATCGCCACCTGGATGACGGTAATGAGCTTAGCGCATTCCTACTTGCAGCCTAATGTGATTGGCTGGTTGGTTGGCTAGCTGGGTCATTGACTAGTGTACTTTAAATGGTAATTTTGGCCTTCTGTTCGCCTCGATGTGACACTCTCTTCGTTAAAGTAATCTACGCGATAAACACCGACGTAGTAACTAGGGCTCTCCGATGAACGTTTTCGATTGGTCCGTTTAGCAGTAGGTTAAACGACGGAAGCGTTGTTCTGAGGTGGCTGCTGAAGTACCCCTTATTTTCACGGCCTTTTGTCATTGAGCCTGTTCTTTGACGTCGGTTTCGTCGTCCCCGACTTGGCACTTCGTCTGTCCGGTGTTTGAACTTCCAGTTCTGAGTTTCCGTCATTAATCTCCTTGACCGTCTGTTGCGCGTGACTGACTGAGCTTCGGGTCGTGTCAAGATCAAATATTAGGTGGCTGATTTTATTTTCGCAGATTCCGCATCAATCTTATTTAATATCAAAAATCGAGAACAGCCAACTTAATCTTGGAAGCATTGTCCATCGTTTTCTCTGACCTTGCGCCATCTCTTCATCGCGCAAGCAACGTGCGGTCGAGCGTTATGCAGCAGTGTGACTTGCCAGCCTTATTGCCCAGTAAATGGCCATTTTTAGTCAAATTCTTTGCTCGGTTTGTTCAATTGTCGGTTGTAGCGTTCCGCAGTCATCGCCTGACCAGTTCCTAGGAGTTCGTAATATAGTACACCCTTCATGTCCCCCCACCAGATACCCAGGCGAAACATCTTCAAGTGGATGTGCTGTTTCGATGTCGGTGTGTAACTGGGTTGCCTAGGATCTACCCAGGACCTGCTTCTTTTGAGATTCTCGTAACAAAAAGTATGCTTCTCGTAACCCGTCGCAATTTTCCATAAGAGGTCCATTCACTGCTTGCGGCCGATGGGTTGTGTTTGGTCAACGCATGTGGGGGGCCCAGCTTCCAAGTTTTTAAATTTTTCCCATTTGGTGGCTCAAACGCTTGGAAATAGGTGTTTGGGTGACCCCCAAGTGCGTTGGAAGCTCTTGTTGCGTTTGCGTTGAGTCTTTAGCCAGCAGAGACTGCAATTCCGCATGTCTAAACCTTGAGACTGTCTGGAGCGCGGTTGGTCACTAAGGTCGAAATCGCCACTTCTAAAACGTTAGTACACCAATAACTACACGTTTGATGGAACACAGCGTCGGCACCAAGAACACCGCAAACTGATTCCCCTGGGGATTAAAAGCATTTGTTCCCTGTTGTTGGAATTCGCATAAAATGCATTGCCATCGGATGTGTTGTTCATTAGTTGCAATCGTAAACTCCGCTACGCCGAGAGGCTATGTTACGGACGCAGACGTGTCGTTCAGTGTTCTAAAATATTGCGTCCGATCCTTTCAAAACCTTTTTTAAATATAACTTTAAGCGCAAAGCAAATAAACTGGATAACTTAAGTCCTCTACCCAAAATACATGAAGCACCATAAACTGCAAAAAAAGGACGAATTTATCGCTCTCAGCAAGAAGACATTATTGTGCACTGGACATCAAGCCTGAGGCACAATTTAGTAATGAGGATGTTCACTCGTGCTGTTTGATTCAATCCTTCAACGTAAACGTTTGTTTCATAACTACAAGCAAGTTTCTCCGGAGAAGTGACGTCTTTGTCGCAGTATTGTTGAAAGGTTTGAGAGAGTCCTTAACGACGATTTTCTTCTTGAAACAGCAGCTGTCTGTCGATAAGATGTGTTTGGCTAAGACAGCAGTCACCTACCAAGCAGTCGATCGTCCACATTGTTGTTAGTGAACTGAGAAATAATCGTGCGATGGAGGGCTGATCAAGTGGTGAGGTCGGGTTGAACTAGGTTAGGGTGTCGAGTGCTGGAGGTGGGTGTGGTTCATGGGGAGCGATAAAGCGAGACGGGATTGTTGAAGGACGATTTCTTTAGTGGTCTTGGTAGTGCTACACTCAACCTACCGTTTTTTGCCTTTTCCTGCCTCAGGGCCTTCAAATCCTTCGCGGAGAAGTTTCCCGACCAAGTTGAACCGGTGCTGCGCACTTTAGATCCGGCGAAGCGCAAGGCAATCGAACGCTCGCTCTCCTCGACTACGGACGACGATCACTCGAGCGTCGCCAGCGGCGTCAGCAGTCGCACTGCCAGTCAGACCAACCTCTCGACTGCCAACAGCAAACGCGCCAGTCGACCTGCTATGGGCACGTCTGGACTTACCACCAATACCACTCGCAGACCCACCGTGGCTGGTACAGATTGTTTTTTTTTTGTTTTCGGCTGCTGCACTGGTGTTTTCGTGCTTGTTTTCTAGCTATGTGACACTTGAGCCGTCGGTTTGATATTAATTTTGGCTGTTTTGCTTAGCCTATCTTCGCCTACTCTCGCCGTGTTTACGTTCGCTTGTTTTTCATTCGTGGAAAAAAAGGCACATTACATTGTTTTTCCACACACACACACACACGCACAGACGAATTGGGATTTACCCACCGTCTTTAAATTGAGAAGTCGTTAGTTTGCCCGGTTGCCAAATTAGCAACACGGCCTACGCCTTCTTGTCCAGTAGCAAACCGGCACGTGACGACCTTCTATCACTTGTGCGTTGTAGACCTTCATGGTAGGTTTTTGGTCTTGTATGAACAGTTTCTGCTCACGCGTGGCTGTTGATTGTGAGTCTAAGGCGACGAAGTCTCCTGCTTTTCTGTGTGCCTTCTTCCTTTAGAAGCGCCACGACGAAATATCAGTGTCTACGGCGACTCCAGATCGCGCCTCGGCTCTGGCAAGACCTCCATTTCGCAACGTAAGTTCCTTCACAGATCGTGGGTGTTCCAGTGAGCTTGAGGCAGGCTGTTGAATGGCAGGCTAAGTTGCTATCGTACGGCCTCTTGGTGTTTTGATTTCGCGGCCAAACCACCCCGACCTTCAGGCAACCAATCACAGTCATCTTAGCAAATTGGATTCCACCAAGTCCCACGGGGACTACAAAAGACAGCTGGGCGGGTCGATTTTATGCCCCTTACTTCAAACTAAAGTATGGTATAACCTTGTCACGCCACGTCACCGGAACTGGTAGTAATGCCCCACATGGGGTCAGTCCAGGGTCACTTCAAGTCTCCATAAAAGTCGGTTGCTAAGTTGGGGAGGAGGGATGACCTTGCCAATAAATATTCTTCTGTGATTATGGCGGCTAGCAACCTCTCTTTCGCAAATTTATCTGTCTGGTGTCGCCAATGATCGATATTTAATGCATAGACTACTCTCGCGTCTCCCTTGCTTGGGACTGACCGATAGTTGGGTTTGATGCCAGCGCGAGCATGAATATAGTTAATTTTACCTGATTTAATTGCCCCAATGGCTGCTAAGATGTGGCGGGACCGTTGAATCTGGATGTAGTCGATGGCTGTTATTCCCGAGGGGAAGCGGGTGTAGATCGCCTTGCCTTGGGGTTATCTGGGTGTGTTGTATGATTCTCCCCGCCAAACTAGCCAACTTCTCTGTGTGTGTGTGCCTAGCGAGTGTTTCAGCTATCGTCGATTTCACCGACGCCAACGATTCTACGCTCGCGGCCAAAAACTCCACAAGCAACGCATTCAAGTCGCCAGACGCCTTGGCTGGCGAGACGCACGAAGATCACGCTTCTGGGCGTAGGTTGCTTCGTGTTCCCGTTTGCGTTACCTATTCTGTTCCGCGTTGTGTTTCGTTGGTGCCTCTTCTGCGCCTCGTGCGAGTGTTCGCCATGTGATTGGTTGATGGGGGGGAAGGTACGCGAACGTAGTGACACCGCTTGCCTTTTTAGCCGCCAGTCGTGAGACGTCGCCTTCTCGAACCGGTTCTGAGTGTGACTACAACGTTGGTGGTGGCGTTGGGGCGAGGGGATACGGCGGAGCCCTCAGTTCCACTGTTGGACGCCAAAGAGGCCTGGCGTACGGCGCTGCAGTGGCGGCTGCGAGGCAAAATCGACGAACCTCGGCAGCCTCCCGCCTCGTCCCACGAAGCCAGGGCCAGTCGCGCGAAGGCTCGCCCAACTCAGCCGTCAGTGGCGGTGCTGTCGGGTACTCCTACAGCGCCAGATCCGGCATGCCGGTTGCCGACAAACGTCGTAAGTGCTCTCTCACTTCCCGTCGTCCGGTGGAATCATTCAGCTGAAGTGTGTTCACTTGCCTTCCTCTATCCTTGTAGCTTCCTTGTCGTCCATGAGCGATGCCGGGTACTCTAATGTGAGTTTTAGGCTCCTTTAGCCTTGGCATAACCCTAGCGTCTTCGTTTTTCTGGCTACACTTGACTTGCAGGTAAACAACTACTACAGGCAACAGTACGAGTCCGACGACAACGTCAGTGAGACCTCCTCGATGTGCTCTGAGCGCTCCGGTCAGTCCATGCCAGTCTACCGTCGGAGTCATTTGCGTCCGGTCAACGTGAGTCCACTTCCCTATCCCTGGGTCGACTACTCAGCGCCCCCTGCTGTCACACGTCGATTTAACCTTTATCATAGCTATTTAGTCCGTCCGAATAACACCTCTTCTATTTGGGGAAAAATCTAGTTTTATTAAAATTACCAGGACGCTTAAACCTCCTGTAATTATTCGCTTAGCGCTTCTCTGTTCCTCGGAACATTCAAGTACGTTGTTTGTGACTTGCTATATTAGTTTTTTTTCGATCCTGCACTTGGTAATCCTCGCACCAATTGCATGCTTGGGCTAGTCAGCTAGCCTGCCATCGTTGTTGTTGTTTTCTTTTGCATTCTGCTTGATTTTGGCCTTGTACACGATGATTGCTAATCTCTACCTGCTTGACGGCTGTCGGATAGAGTCTAGACTGTCCACCAGTTAGAAGAACGCTACGGAATTTTGCGACCAGCTGTGTGCACTTGGCAATCTGTGGCATTTTCTGATGAAAATTATGCTTTGGAAGTTGTGCTTCCCTGTGGAATGCGCTCTGGGACTGCGGCCACGCGCAAGTATAATGCTGACTTTCACTCCTCCGTCCTTGTTTTAGGGTCTCGGTGATATAATCAACCTGATGAGCAGCTCTCAGTGGTCGGAGAAGAAAGACGGTCTGTTGCATTTGAAGGAGTACCTGCGAACTGACCAATCACTAAGGTGAGCACCACCCCTCTCCTTTTTACTCCACCGCCACCACCACCACCACCCTTTTCATTCGTCTGCCTTGCTTGGTTGTGGGAATGTGAGGTCGTTACTTTTGCTCACAATCGATAACCTGCTGTCGTTTTAGCCACCAAGAGGTGATGCGCGTAGCTGAGGTTCTCGGCGGTAACTTTGGCGAATCCTCCAGCAAGGTAAGCTTATCCACTGTCCTTGCTGACACATGCGTTAAGGCCTTAGGTCATGCCGTCCTGATTGGTCGGTTGTGCTAATGAGCCTTACCTTTGGCCTTCATGTAGGTCATCTCTGCGTTCATGGAGACTGTTCAACTGTTCATAAAGAAGTACCACCAATTCCTGCACGAGTGGATCTACCTCGCCATGGTTCGACTCTTCAATCGACAGGGCCAGGAGGTCCTCCCCACTCACCAAAAGGCCATCGCGGACACCCTCGCTGTTATTCGGTTAGTGCGTTTTTCTACGTTGTCGGTGGTTTGCTGTTGAAGTGGCCTCCAATGTGAATTGTCTAAAATAGGTCGTTAAATTGAGTATCGGGTGGAGAGGAGACTGTTGATTGGCCAGTTACCTGAGTTCGCATTGGTCTACGGGGGCGTTAATTTGCATTGCTATTTTGCTATTTCAGATCTCACTTTCCCCTCAACTTGCAATTCGCGTGTTGTTGCCGGTTCATAACTGACGATGCAATGACGCCAACACTGAAGGTGAAGGCCCGAGTCCTAGAATACCTCAAGGATCTACTCTTGATGATGCCTGTCGACGCCATCAGCAATCCGACCAGCGAGATGGTCAAAGGCATCGCTCGTATAATCGCCTGGTCCACTGAACCCAAGTCTGCTGACGTTCGTCGGGTGAGTTTCCAATGCTTCCGTTCCCTTCTTCAACTCCTCGTCTCGAACGTGTCAATCTGCTCGATTAATCGAGATTTTAGATGCGCGCGCGCGTGTGTGTATGTGAACGTCTTAGCCAACTTGAAGCACCATTTTTTGTCAAATTGTGTTAGCGGCCGGCATGAACGCAGCGACGCTTTTGCCAACCAACTCCCGCCTCCGCAAAATTATCACAGCAGTCGAGTGGCAGCAACTCATGGCGTGCAGAATCTCATTCCAAAGCTTCCCTCTTCTCCGTGCACCGTGCAAAATCGCTCTAGCATCGCGGTTCACTTCAGAAAAGATGAATACTTTTTTCGATTAGCGATACCTGAAAAGTTGATTGTGAGTATGCAGAAGCAGGGTGATTGGTAGTCCCCAAAAGACTATCAAGACGGTGTGTCGTCGCCGTGAAACAATCATTGTGGCTGTCGATTATTGCAGTTGGTCGGGCGTTGTCGCGAGACGATTGACTCCATTGTTATTGTTGACGGTGGAACCTCGTCTTCAAGCAGGACATCTGAAATCTCTGTCGTAAGCATAGTAACGCTTGGCGATCGATCACTCCCTTGAGATCCTCGATCTTGGGGGTGGTCTGTTTGTGGCTGAGAGACAGAGGAGGTCTCTGAACAGGTTTGGCTTCAGCACCAATGCCGACGCTCTTCGTTGTCATGCCATGTACGTGTTCCGGCGAGGAGCTAACAGAAATTTAACTGGTTTTGATTTTGGGGGATCAATTTGCCCTTACTTTTCAACTCCTATAAACCACTCTTAGGTGCGATGATAATTGACCGCCACAATGTGAAGCGAAATCACTCTATGCCTGTGCTGCTCTAATTCTCCGTCTCTCTCTCTTGTCACAGCTTGCCAGCCGTGTGGTGATAAAGCTCTCTGACCTCAATCCAGCGGCATTCGCCAGTGTCGTGCAGCAGATGCCCAAGACGTCTCAGGACCAATCGGCCAAGTTGTTGAAGACCTACCAGAAGACGGCTCCGGCCACCGGCAGCGGTCACGAGGCGGCGGCCACCTCCCCCACCGCCCAACGCACCGCCAGTCGGCTGCCCAAGTAAGCCCCGGGTTAACCCCCCGCCCATGTCTACCACCACGGCGTGTACCAAGAACTAGGCTGAGTCAGCTTACTTTTGTGCAAAGCGTCTGTTTTCTTGACTGACCAGCGTAACCTAATTTGTGCGGGCTAGATCCCTACTGCGGAGTCTGTACAGGTAAATGTGAGTAGCGCGCAGCATGTTCGTCTTGAGATTAGCGGATGACCCTGGCCTTGCCATCAAACGGACCAATCAGATGCATTTTTGAAATTACTCCGGATACTGTACTCGTACTCACGCAAATTGTGCATTTCTCTTCCCTCTTTTCCTCTTTGTGTGTGTACGTGCATGCGTGGGTGCGTTTACTACTGTTGTTGGTGTAATTAATTCACGTCTAACCACCCCCTCTCACCTCACTTGTTTTCACTAACCGGTGCTGCTGTTGTACCCCCTCCCCCCTCCACCTTGCCTTTGCAGACTGTTTCAGCGCTCTGCCTCGATGCGTCAGCCCAATTCCCCCCAAGCCTCCTCGTTCCATAGGTAAGCGCCTGTGTGTCCGGCGCTATTTCACAATTTACAATTCCGTAGACTAATTTCACCCCCTCCCCTCTCCTCCTCCTCGATTGATACGAGAACCCTGCAATTAGATATAGTCGTTCATCGGCGTCGGGAATCTCGCAGCCTCCGAGGTAGACCCGTCTGCCACCTAGCACGCGCTCAGTTGAAAATGCCCGAGCGGTGGGTTACCAAGTCACTGCGTCTGTTTATGTGAAACCAGGTCATTTGGCACCATTTCACTTCTGGAATGACGCGCGTCACGCCGTTGAATTGTCAGGGGCGGCAGATGGAGTCTCCCTTGGTTGATTGATGGGTTGTGTGACACAATCACCCTCAAACAGGGATTAGAATTGGGAGGGAGGTTAGCGAGGCCTCAGTTTGTGCCAGCATCTTGATCTGATCTCTTCGGCAGGCAAATCACCAGACCGATCGATATCCGCGGTTGTAGAGGTGATGTTGGTGGCGTCCTTGTCTGCTCCTTCACCGACCGTACTTTTTTCCGCTGCTTACAGTGGGTGGTATTTAAACTAGCCGTCTACCCCAGCATATTTTTCTTCCTCCCTTCTCCCTCCCCCCGCCATCTCCCTCTCTCTCAGGAACTCGATGTATACCTCTGTGCGCGCAAAGCTCTACGCCAGGTGTAGTTTTGGATGTGTTTTCAGTGCTCTGTTTTGTTAATACGCTCTTTAATTGCGAAAAACAAGTTGGTATTTCGTCTCCTTTATCAGTAATAGTAGTAGTAGTGTTGCGTCAAATTTACGTCGTTGACTTGTAAACGTAAAATCCCACATCTCCGCGACAAACGACTGTGTGTGTGGCCACACACTCGCTATCATTCCGCATGGATGAAATCCCAACTTCTTCGAGGTTCCTAAATATGCCAGTTAGTGCTGGGGGTTTGCGCCAACTCACCAACTTCACTTCTGCCTTAATCTTAACTGGTACTGTGTGTTTTTTTTTTGTAATCTCCGCTAAGAAAACCGATCTTTTTTCCACACACACAAACACACCCACCTGTTTAGGTGGTGTTTTACCCCACAACACATTCGCCACTCAGATTCACCACACTCGTTTGGAGTTAGCATTCGACAATTGAACCTCTAACGATCACCTCGAATCGCGAATGTGCAGATCACGTGGTATTTGAGCCTAACTGAGTGAGCAAGTAGAACCCGTGTTTTAGTTATGTTGCGGCTGCACTCGAGTTGGCGTAATTTGACCCCTCACAGCTGTAATCCCCGCATAATGCGGTCGTATTTCAACACCAGTCTTGTGTGTGTGGGTGTGGAAAGCAGTCGAATGCCCTCTAACTCCTAGCATCCCTTCTGTTGCACTGAGTGTTGGTGTGGAGTAGCTGCATGTGCTCGTAGTTGTGGTTAGTCTAGCAGTAGTAGCTAACACCCCCTTTCCCTCCCCACCCACCTAACCCCCTGGTTTTGTCGCTGAGCTCACGATGACCGCGATATTCACCCCTCTCTCGTGCACTAGCACTAGAGCCCAACCGAGCGCTGGAACTAGGCCCTTCAGTCCGATCTCGCCGACGTACGTTCCACCGGTTCAGGAGGCGCCGCCGCTGGAGCACGCGGCCCACAACCGGTTGAGCAGTGTGCCCGACGGTCGCATGCTCGCGGGACCGGCGTCGGGGTACGGCGTGCCATCTCCCACCCACCTCCAGCCACCCTACTCGGCCAACGCGGTCAGGCAGAACGGCCAGAATGGCAGCGGTGGTCACCACTACTTCTCCGTGGCTGCCGGAGTGAGCATGTCGCCTGCGGCGGGGGATGCGGTTAATGCCGACCCACTCCAACGCCAGTCCCCCCACTACGGCTATCCTCCGCTCAGCAAGAATGTGAGTCACTGCCGAATCGGCTAGTTCCGAGTCCGGCGGGCCTGTGATTGGTTGGTTGGTCGTGTAGTAGGCTTTGAGTAGGACTAGCAAGTGTTAAGGGAATGATGTTTTTTGCGACGTCAGTAATGTAAATACTTCTGCTATACGACCGGTTTTTGTTATTCCGGTAATTGGATCTCGTTGTTTCTGAGCGTGAAATGCGTTGTTGTTTGCTTATAGCAGCAATCACCATCATCGTTACTGAGTGGAATAACCGGCGAACGTAAGTCCTGCTCTGTTTTCCCTCCCTCCCTCCATCCACTCTATTCTTTTGTTCTTTTCCATTCTACTCCACCTTCCACCTCCCTCCCATTCCACTCGATCTCACTGCAATCTTTTTCCCCACTCGACTCCCCCTCCATCCTAATCCTCCTCTCTTCCCCAAAGCTATTGTCTTCTGCCCACCCGCTACCGCTTCCAACCACCACCGATTTATCACCTCCCCACACTCTGTTCTATGAGTAATGCCCATAGTCTTCTGCGTGCTCTACCATCTCATCCGTTTCCACTGTGTAGTGATCTGCCCCAAGTTAAAAAAGCCCGTCATCGGTTATCAGACCTTGAAAAAGATTCGTGGTAAGCCCGCTGCCAGTTCCCCCACCTCCCCCTCTCCCCGCATCAGCATGTGCGCGCGTTTACTTGCATGCCCGGATCCAGCCGTCAGGGTCAAACGCGTGAACTGACCCTCCCTGTTCCGCCTCCTCTGATCGTTTTGTTGAGCGTGCTTTTTCTCCGCTCCCATTTGTGCTTGATGTGAATACTTGCCTTGCCTTCCACGTGCCTCCTATCCATCTCCTTTGTTGTGACCCCAAAATGCGTCCACTTCTGCGTTTCATTTTAGCCAAGCGACCAATTGGGTGACAGTGCGAAATGAACCAGTATTGGGTAAATGGGAGGTAATTTAGTTTAACGAGGGCAAATTGCCAGCACCGGATTTTAAAAAAAGAGTTTAATTTTTTAACTCTACGCGCCAATGCTTACCGAGCGAAGTCCTTCCTGTTTCGAAATGATTCATGATTGGTAGTGAAAAACAGGCCGTTGACAATGCCCTCAACAGAATACGACCACAGTGCAGCCGTGGTTCACTAGGTTGGATCACAGCGAAGGCTTTGTGTATTTTGAACTGCCTCCAGGAATGCAAATTGTGAACTGTTTACGCTCAAGGCGGAACTGAGGTGGCTGCCCCAGCGACTGAGTCAAACAACGGTGGGATCGAGTTCCACCAAGGCAGTACCAGGCCTCCTCACACGTGTTTGATTAACATGTTCAATTTCTACGGAAATTACACTCCGGATGACTCATAGTCTCGACATACTTTCTCCTTAAAATTCAAGCCACCTCAAGTGTGTCTTGTAGTCTTTAGCCTCTTGTTTTTGCACAAACGTGGCAGTCGTTTACATCCTGCAACCTCGCCTGCTCCCTCCCTCCCCATCCATCCTCCCTTCTCTATCTTCGCCACCTCCCTACTTTATTGGCTTGCTGTGTTTCCGTCACTGTTCGTGCCCGCATCCATTGCGCATGTTCATGTGCTTCGTTGTGGTTTAATTGGTGCGTGAAGTACTCTTCTCTCTGATTCTACAGAGATGCCTCCAGAAGATGCCATCACAGAGATCTTGCAGGAACTCTCCAACTACAACGACAGGTTGGTTCTGCCGAATGCTGCCTCGTTTTCTGTTGAAAGACTGTGTGTGCGCGCGCGCGCTTTTAACGCTTCTCTCCGCTTGAAGGTATGAACAACGCAAGGCGTGCATGCTGAAGCTCATCAAACTGCTCCGCGATGGCACCATTCAGACGTGGGAGGAACACTCCAAGCCAACCCTCCTCATCCTCTTGGAGTCGCTCTCAGACACCTCAGTACGTTCCCCCGATTCTTGTCCTGCTGATCACGTGTGTGTGTGTGTGTGTGCCAAGTTTGGTCCAATCAGGCTCATCCTCTATGGCCCGCGTCAAGGTCGGGTCAAATTCTCAAATCACATGGTCTGGTAATCGTAGAGGGTCAGGTCTATCAACCACAGCAAACAAACTACTGAGAAATGGGATGCGTGTTTGTGTGTGAAAGCGTGCAGGACCGTAAGTGTTCGCTGCGGGAAGCCCGTGCATTGGATAAGTGTGTTCCGTACGCAAACCTCGGTCTGTTTGTGAGCTACAGTCATTTGTCCTGCTAAACATGGGTCCCTCCATAACGTCAAAAGTGTCCTCTGAGCCTGATTTAAACAAGTTTGAATGAGTGCAGTTTTTATGATTGGTCAAATGCGCATTGCTTCGCAGCTAGCTAAGAGGGTTGCGAGGACCAGAGGCCATGGCGTCACAGGCGTTTGTTACCCGGCTCAACTCTGTTGTGTCCACACAAGGTCATTCATGCATGCGTAAAGGTCACAAACGTACTCGGAGGGAGGGAAGCGAAGTGCCGTCGCGTACGGACGCGAACTCACACGGCCGCACACTTTGCTATTGGTCTGATTTTTCTCCATAATGTGACTTACCGTGCCGCGCAAATTGTTCTAGAGCGAGACACGTGCATTGGCCCTGCGTGTGCTGCAGGAATTGGTGCGTACTCAGGGCGACCTAATCAGCGACTACGCCTGCTTGACCGTGATGAAGATCCTTGAGGCCTGCAACGACACCGACAAGGGGGTGA